TCTTTCCCTGCCCTCCTCCTTGACCGTCCAGTTTGTAGACTAGGGTTTGCCATGATCCCTCTCTAATTCCTTTCCAGTCTGGCTCCCAACACTATTCTGTGTGAATGCACACAGAAGTACTGCTAATTCTGTCACTGCTTCCTCAGACTACATTAATATTAAAAAATACGTGGTTCTGAATGTGTGACCACATTCAGTGGGTATTCAAGCTGCAGTATGCAGGCGGTTCAGTCACTGTGGAGCATTTACAAGTGCATCTGCCGTGGTGAGAGGGCTGCAGACCAAGCCTCTCCTCGTACCCAGAAAGAAGTATGGTACCCGCACAGAAGGGAGCATTTGCTGACAAAGTTAAAGTAGAAAGAAACACTAAAGTCAACAGTAAATGGTCGCTTGTATTTGCACCAGATGTTTCCATTTCTGACCTGTGAAATTTTATACAGCTCTTAGGAAGAAAGATGGAGAGAAAAAGATTCTGATATGTACAAGTGGGCCCTTCCAATTTAAACCATAGCAGTAAGATTAGAGCAATCTGAGCCAAGATACCAAAACTAAACTAAAAACTACACAAAACAAAATCACTAAGCATCAGCAAACCTATTAAGTGTTGTAATTATCTTAGACAAAATAGAAATACAGTTTGTGGACTGAAAAAACAGTATGACTAAACCTAGCAGATTTATTCTTCCTTGGTAAAGTAACTTGCATGATCCTCAATGAACTTTGTGAGCATTAGTAAGTTAAGCCTTAAAAAAATGGAAGGGTAGAAGCATTTACACAGATCACACACTGCTTTCACCTGCTTGTTATATATTTCCTTAGAGATCTAAGTTACAGCTCAGGACATAATACTACAACATAAGGAAATCACAATGGAGTTGGTGAAATGCTCCTCAGTATGCCCAAGACACTGGACCACTTTCTCCCTTGTTCCTTGAATGTCCATATGTTTTAACCTGTCCCACACAGAGCTCCATACTTACGCATGTTTCTCCCTCATATATACATACCAGCTTTTGTCCTGACAGGACTTCCAGTAAAGCCATCAAGATTTTGCCATCTTGTATATCAACAAATAAATCTTTCACTTTCAGAGGAGGCTTGTACTGTGAAGGAAAGAAACCAGGTAGCCCATAAAACAGCACTGCTTGGTAAGTCACCATTATGTCAGAGAGCAAGAAGGAGACTTTTAGCAGACAGAAATACTAGAAATAAATCTTAAGCTGCAGGAAGAAAGGGCCCACTTTTCTTTACATCAGTAGCAATTTTGTCCTAGGAATGACTAAGCTAAAACGGAGATATGAGTACTCATGTAACTGAGATCAGACAGGGAGTTATTCCAGATTTTACATTACAGAATCTCATCCAAAAGACCCTGCCTAGGTACTGAGCACCGAAGGGTTGGATGCTGATCCCTCAGACTAGGACAACTCCAGCAGACGTGAATCCCACTTTATATGGAAATAAACAAGACTGAAATCAAGCCGGCCACAATATTCTATTTCCTCTGTAAAGTGTCTCGTAGTCCCACTCTGTTTCCAAGTATTTTCAAAGTATTTTAAATGGCATCTTCTTACATTGCAGCTCTCTCTTCTCAGCAAACTCCTGCAAAGGGAACCATCTCCTCACTTCACAGAGGTGTCTGATGATGTGCCCACTGCAAGGCACACAACCAAGTCAGCTTAGCCCTTAGGGGTAGTCTCAGATGCAGCAACTACCTTTTGTTCAGGTGTCACTCACTCATGTGCGTCTAAAGAGCCAAGACTCTTTGTCTTTGTTTGGGCAGTGTACTACTGTTCGACTAACAACAGCTTCTGACAACCACGGACAACACATTTGTGTTATTAGTCTTGCATCTAGCCAAGAGTACTAAACAATACTCCATAGTGAAAGAAAAAAGCCCCACTCATTTCAAGGCTAATAACCTATCTCAAACTCTCCAAATTCAACCTTTTTTATTCTTTTATAACTTAAGACAAGAATCACCAGAACCAGCAGGATGCAGAGTACTCCCAACTATCCCACAGCCAGCAGAGCCAGCTCCTCTCAAAAGAAGACCCTGATGAGATGGTCTGTTCCAAAAGAGGACACACCACACCACAAAATGTTCCTGAAGAAATACAGGAGGAAGCCTTCACTTCTGCCTTTACAATAAAGAAGCAACTCTGCAAGAAGTGCTTCTTTGAGGATAAAGACAGAAGCCAAATTCCTCAGCAGGTGTCCTCGGGGAATCGCCTGTGATTAGAAAGAGTTTTAGCAATGCTATCACTATTTACATGGATGTGTTTAGCGTTACACTTCCAGCAAATACAGTAATATCGTCAGCAGATTTTTTACCCTTTCTTCAAAAAAGCATTTTTCTGTGTTGCATCAGAGAGGGAAAAAAAATGTATGCACCCCAGAGAAAACAGTTCACATGCCCACAAAGTCTCTACGACTTCACATGCGTGGCCTGGCAGAATTAACAGCACCCTATAGCCTTCTTCATGATCTAATTCCTTTTGTAAATTAAAGGTCTTTTTTCACAGTCATACATTTGACAACCCTTTTCGACAGCTTTCAAAATTGCAGTTAATTTAAAGCTCTGGAGCCTGATTCATGAAGGAATCACATAACACTTTCTGCGTTCTGAGAGACCTTCGGGAGCAATTGCTAGTCAAAACATTACCAAGTAGCCTTATTCTCATTTTCCAATAAGATTTAAGAGGATCCTTTCATTCCTTCAGCAACAGACACTGCAGAATAGTGGACTTTAACAGCTATGTATGTGACGCCTTTTTTCTAAAAGCCCTTTGCTTTACCATGTCTGATATGCAATCACTTCCCAAGAAGTGCAGGAGCTAGACAGAGTCAACTTGTAGCCCAAACTCAGTCCCAATTTATACTTTAAGAAATTTAGCCGCATATATTAAAGGTACTCTGAAGCCCAAACTCAAGTCCAAGTTCTGCACATTGGTCTCATGTGCTGACCCTGCACTAAGGAATGCAACTATGTCAGCAATATTAACGATATTTTTCTGCAATCCTCTCATCCTCATCACCGGGACAGTCCTTCTCTGGATCGCAGACTATTCATATGAGTCAGTACTTACCTACTGTCAATAGGAGTAGTAAATCAGATTCAGTAGTCATATTATGGTGTGATATAGGAGAGATTAAGAAACAATTAAATCTTGAAAGTTTGGTGGGAAGAACAAATATTAGTTCTCTAACATAGCTGCATATGTTAAGAACCCATTATACAGGCCCCAGAAAAATGAATGACAAAGAATTATCTTTTCCCATCTGGAGATCTGAGACTGAGCCATCGCCTGAAGAACTGTATGTCTTTGGCGATGATGCTTCTAATACTGGAACTTCCATTCCAAGCAATAACATAGTTATCATCACCTCAGAGCAACCTAAACCACATTTGATCTTTTGCAGGTAAATTTTATAACTATAACTATAATGCACCCAGTAGCATTAAGTACGTACATCTATTTGAGATGAACTAAAACCAGCCAAGCATTCATTGAACCTGAAAAGCAATTTTCATTACCCAGAAAGCTGCTTTCAGCTTCCCCTCATTCTCCTCCAAACCTCCACAAGTATGCATACTAGTCAGCTTTGATTCCAAATTCCAACTAAATTGATTTTAAAAGGAGTAAACTGTAATCTGTCTATTGTTGTGTCCTTGTACCTCATTATCATGACTGTTTGTTAGTCTTACCTTTCCCAAATGTAGGTTTATCCATCTGGTAAAGGTCCTCTTCTGTACATTTTCCCGCTCCACTAGAAATAACAGAAACAAAAAAACAGCACTTAAGTTTCCAGGAGAGGGGAAGCTTATAGCAAATTTCAAAAACTCATGCACAAAAAGGCAGGATTCGTGAGAGCCCAGTGAATGAAACAAATGTATTCCATCCAGAGGAGGAGACGTAAGGTTGAGCCATGGCGTTTTGTTCAGTTTCTTTGCCCAGACATGATCTATCCGTTTGCAGATACATTTTAAAGTATGCTGAAGAAAATCTCTCTTCAGTTTGCAATCTTCAATGTAGCATTGAAAAGGTGAACAGCTCTCCAGTGATGTTAGACTCTGAGCAAGCAGTTTGACCCTTGTATGTCCCTTTATAGCACTACTGCCATGACACCTTCATGCATATTGGGTTCGTGTGGATTCCAATGTACTTACTCGCATGCACCATGAAACAGGAGCACATTAATCAACCTGACAATCTTGTATTTTTGCCTCTGAATGGAAAAGCTTCCTCAGATCCTCCCTATCTTCTAACTAGTGCATTTTAAATCAAAATTCCCAGTCCCTACAGCAAAAAATCATTTTATTTACATTGCAATAAGACAAGGAGCGCTTGTTCCTTGCCAGAAGTGCTGTACGCTAGGTGCTGTACAAATAACTCTTGTGCCAGCTGAAGAGTTTTTCATCACATGTGCCATTTCCTGAATCCATTTCCATAGAGAACTAGAGTAAAAGTGCAAGAGGAATCATATTTCTGACCAACTTTCATTTACCTTCTAATATAAAAGAGTAACACATACATTCAATACAAATGAAATAGACTGAAGAACTAATATTTCATTTTAGACACAATTATTCTCAAGTGGTTCTCAAATTTCACTTGAATTAAGGAAATCTGGCAATTTATGAACAAAAAACTATTAAAACTAGTTATATGCTGTATTTCAATTTACTCAAAGAACATATCAAATATATTTTATAACCATTTTGTGTTTCTTCAACCATAAGAAAATAGCTAACCTACCTTCTGGGAAATCACATTCTGTAAAAGTCTGGCTTGTTTTTATTGGTCAGGCTAATTAGAGGCTAAGTAGTAGCTTCCGTATATCAAATTTTAATATTGTTCTTTTTGATCATTTTAACTCAAGGGTCAGCAGCCTCTAATCATATATATAATTGTTTTCCTTATTTTGATGTATTGGAATAGAGCTTTCAGCATGAATTACATCTGTCACTGATAGCCATTCAGGCCTTTCAAGTCCCTTTATTCCTGTAAAACCTGATTTTATGTAAGATTGGGGAAAAAAAAGTCTTTACCCTTTAAGTGCTTTAGAAAACATGGAAAATGCCAAACTAATTATTGCTGTTGGCTTTTCTTTTAAAATATTTCAGAAGAATGTGCACAGATTTGAAACAGCTCTCCACAGATGAAACTGTAAATTACATTAGGGCTCCAGAATATTAGTAAAATAACCACAGCATTTAGTACCTACAAATCTCAAAATACAATAAACTAAGAGCTGTGTCACGTCTTTCTACGGCTTCCCTTCCTCCAGCAGCCCAGCCCCAGAATTGGCCTTCTGTGCACTTGTGCACGCACATCTGTACGGTGCAAGTGCTATGTGTCGCGTACAGTGAAGGGCGTAACTTTGACAAGTGATCTGTTTTAAAATTAACTTTTTAAGGGTGGGTAGAAGTTAATGATAAGCCAGATCTACTCCCAGATACACTTTTTCTTGTTTAAATACATGTGCTGGTGCAAAGCAGAAGGCAGAACAGGAGCAGGAGCAGGAACTAATAGCGGAAGAAAGGGCCACGCCGTGCTTACATCACCTCTTTCTTATGCTGGTCTGAAATGTTCAGGACTGCTCGGATGGGCAGGGCTAGGCTTCAGGGAGGACCAGAGGTCTTGTAAAATGAGCCAGCTATACAAATTCCCAGTGTTGACCAAAATCAAAGTTAAAAACACAGAAGGGTACATGGAAGCAAAATAAATGTTTTCTAATTTCAGCAGAGGCTTGGTTTCAGTGAGGGCCTATTTTTCCACCAATCCCTTTGGCAGTCTTAAACTTCAGGGTAATTAAGGATGTGAGAGGAGCTATGCTTATTTACAGATTACCCACCAAGCTGAGCACATATTGGCTCTTAATTTTGCTGCAGAAATTCTGCCATCAATGCAAATTACAGTTGCAATATGCCTGAAAGGGTGGGCAAGCCAGGCTGGTAGTACCGCTTCAGGAAGTTCACACACCAAGAAAACCCAGGCACGTTCAGGAAAGCACGTGCATATATCCACAGTTTACTGACACTATTCAGTGAACGTTTCTACAGCAAACAAACTCTTCCGAGTAAGAACAATGACCTAGGGCAGACACTATGTGATTTTGTAATAGTCTAAAGCAATAGCAACTGGATGGGGAGGAGAAAGGGGGAGGAAATGTGTTTATAAAAACCCCTAAGGCAGACAAACCCCTAATGCAGTCCATATGCTTGACTGGAGAGTTAATGGGAAAAGTGCAGCACAGGTATTTACTGATGTGTGCCTTTAACTGTTATTCTTCTCTAGCTCTGTGGACCTCCCAGTTTTGGTACAGCCTCTCTTCTCCACAACCTTTTCATTTGTGAGGATTGTAGAAACTCTATAAACTTTATACAGTTTCTATAAATCGAATGGAATCTTTTTTTCTCCTTCACACCTACTATTGTATAAAAGTACAGAAAATCATTCAAGTCTAAAGTTCCTACCCTGTTGTATATAGTTTATTGAAACTGCACTAGGTTTACTGGGCAGCTAGAGAGCAATAACACCATTATAAAATAATAATTACACACACCATATGGCTGGCCTGCACACAAATCCAGTGCATTATGCTGGAAAAGAAGGATGTTTGCTGTGAGGGTTGAATTTAAAGACGTAATGCAAGAAACTAGTAAAAAGTTAGAAATTGCCATTTTGCTAAGCTCAGATCAGCCTGCGACATAAGAGACAATTAAAAATACAAAAAGAAATTTTGACCACTGCCCAGAAGCTAGGCCTTCAGGATGCTTCCAGTGATCTCAAATTCGACAGGCTTTCACAGTAAGGTCTCAGGTGTGTTGCAAGGGCACAGTATTTCTATCAAAGTACATGAGTACAGCACAGATATTAGCTGCAATAATCTAGGGAGGAAGAAAACTCTACTGGGGGAAAAAAGTGTGCTGGTAGCCTGGTGAGCCTACTGTAGCCTATGCATGTCTCTGCCCCACTGCCATATCCCAGAGGAGAGCAGAATTTGGCTTGGTTACAATACGTGCACCCTAGTCAGTTTGCAAATAAGGAGTCACAAAGATATGTATTCTGGTTTGTCAAGTGTTCTGGCAAAGGAAACTGATCTGCCACAGCATAAAGCTAAGCTAGTTCAAAGACCGCTTGAACAAATTCAAGGCTAAGCTAATATGAACCAGCAAAAGTAAGTTCAGCGCTTTCCCTTCATGGCCCTATTTCCTTCCCTACCCGTACCAGCCCTACCTTCCCCCTACCAGCATAGGCATTCATTCCTAATGCCAGTTCTTCCTCCTTCACATCTCTCCCTCTCTCCCCAAAGGCCATTTTTGTTGCAATACCACAAGAAGCCAACCTCCTAACAGCCTCTACATTCAACAACATATTGGAGATAGCAAATATTGATTTGCTTTTAAATAGTGTTTATTCTGCTGTTGTAGAACCGGTTATGAATAATTGTCTGAGATACACCACCATGGGCCTGGGCTATATTGAGGAACTATGAAAAGTGGAAACCGATCTGAGGGGAGCACTTGTCTGCATGCAATTACATAGCTTCAGAAAACTGCTTGATTTGCACGCATGGGTGTTACTCCCAAAGCAAAGGAGGTCACTTAAATTTGCCTCCACAGCTACTAGCATTTCAGCCAGGATATCATTAGCAGATGATGTTAAGACCTTCATAATAGACTATGTTAGCTTTTAGATTCACTTACAGATTCCCTTCAAGACATCTCCTTAACTATCGGTTTTATAACCGATATGCACAAAAGCCAACTTCCCAGGAGCTTCTACCAGATGTTATAACCTCTATATAAAATAGACATGTTATTAACATTAGGCAAGTTTTCAAGATGGAAATGGCGGTGCTGGCCACCTAAATATGAAAGAGGGTGCTGTGCCTGCCCTTGACTTCAGAAGTAATAACTTGCCAGGAGAATCGTGCCACATCCACTGCATCAGTAACCACTGGCCACCACAGAACCAACTCATATCCTTTATGGCTCTGGAGATCAAGAGTCTGGGCATCTGCCAAGGTCTTAGATCAGGAGAAATTAGCACTTCTCATTAAACAACAACAAAAAATATGGGAAATACATCATATTTTAATTCTTCATTGGCTAGCCTAACTCCAAAATGTGGTTCAGATACCCTAAGTCTTGGGAAATGGAGTATGAATTCCTCTACTTCTTCCTTCCTCACCCCAAAAATTCAACTCATGCAGCCAAACAATCAATCAGTCTCTAATGAACAGCAGTCTCCTTTTGAACCACCCAAACTCTAGGCTACTAAATAAAATGAGAACTAGATTTTAAATTGGACTCTACAGCATACTTAAACTGTGACTCAGCCTAGGTATTTATGATTACTAGTTCATCATGGTATCAAGTCTGAATATTATTTTCTCTGTAAATTTAATGTTCATGAAGGAAGCCAGATTGACCTCTTTAAAAATCAGTCTTATATAAAATTACACATTTGCTGCCTACCACGTTCCAAGCTGCCTTGCCCTACTTTGTCTCAAACACTGCAGACAGTGTTTCCAGACATGAAAACCTTTTTTTTTTTTTAGCACATAATAATGAGGCTACCAGCAATATTGTTAATTGAGAATTGCCGTATTTTTTGTTTTAATTAGGTGCATACAAAGACAGGGACTGATGGCACTGAATAGCCAAGCTGAATTACTGTCAAATCACCAGAAAAGGTGATGTCTGACTCAGTTCTGTGTCTAATAAGCTTCAGTATACAAAGCAGCTGAGACATATGGATCCTA